AGGCTTGTTAGCCACCATAGTAGTAAAAATGGTGAAAATCAGCGTAAACACAATAGCACTAATATATATAATTTAACTACTCACTATTCGCCCCGGCTTCGCCTAGGTGTACATGTATTATATATAAACCTTCCTCTAGAATCACTCTATCTATTTAAAAAAAACCGCTTCAAAATCCGTTGCGTAGATTTAATGATTTAAGCATATATAGGGACGGACAGACAGCTACATCGACTTTATTTTATACTATGTAATGATATATATGAATATGTAAGAATTTAATAATGAAATTAAATAGCTTTAGCCGAGTCAACCATTAACAGAGCTACCACATACGGTGGTAATAAATTGTATGTGATTAATCAGTCGTGTATAGAATTCGAAGACAATAGCTTTGCAATGGTATATTAGTTTTATAATTACATGTCATTCCCTGCAGTTGAATGAATAATAATACCTGTTAGCCTTTATGTGAAACAATACAGCACAATCAGTTAAATAGACAGTTTTCAACTTGTCATGATTTTACGAAGTTATTATATGTAAAGAAAAGTTAATTACAGAAATAGAAATAGAAAATCATTTATTCAAATAAACTTACATTGAAGCACTTTTGAATAGTCATTACATTTTTTTAATCTACCGCTCATTCGGAAAGCTGTCTCATCACAAGAAGAACGAGCAAGAAACTTGCGTGTTGCTGATTTAAATAATTTTATTATTACTTTACATTTTTAAGTTTAAGTGTGTGAATACAAACCACCAATTAGCACTAATTCAATTAAATACTCAAATAGAAAAAAAAATTAAAGATAAAGATTAAGATAAACTTCATTAAATGAATTTATAGAACAGCGTGTTACTCTCCCGTATCCTGTTTTCCTTTCATATAGTAAGTCAGTGATAATGTTCAAGAATTCATGACAATAGTCATCAATAGGCAGTCATATCTGAGGGTACTCTCCTTAACAATATAATCTGAAAATTTTATCATAAATTGTCATGCCATATTTACACGAAACCTTAACATATAAACAGAGAATTTCAGCCTCGTTGCGATATATTTGTTTATTACATATAAAGAAAAAAAATGAAAAAATGTATTTATTATTAATTAGAAAAGAGGCATCATAAATATTTTTGAGAATAGGCGGTGGCAAATGTTGGGCCATTTGTTACGACACGACAAACTAATTAATAATATTATAGAAGCAAAAGTAGATGGAAAGAGAGGAAGGGGAAGACTAAGACAGCTATATCAAGCCAGTTAAGGAAAAAGTTGGAGTCTTGTATCAACAACTAAAAAGATTGATAGAAGATCGTGGAAGATGGCGGGAGCTCCACTGACGAGACCTCAGCTCTTAAATTATGAATAAATGTTAAATTTATTATTTCAATTTCAATTTGCATGTTCAAAATGTAGCTGAAAATGGAACTGTGTATTTATTTCTAAGAACGCCGCCTAGGTCTATGTATGTATGTGTATTATTATTATTATATTTATTATATATGAAGGTATCCGCAGAAAACCATCGTCATGGCACCCCGTCACGACATATGCTGAGCGGAGACCTATTTGGTACTGTAAAATTAATGTAAACCGAAAAATGTAAATTAAAATTTAAAAATTATTTTCAGTGTACCTAATAAACAATTTTCTTTCTTTTCTTTCTTTCAATAGGTGATATTCAAGGCAAGTAAATAAAAGATGGTGTCTCCTTTCGAAGTCGGTTGACAAAAAAAGCATTAAAACAATAACAATACTCAATCAATACTATCAATACTCCACATCGTTTGGGCACGCTATCACCTCCTCAATCTCCAGTCATATTTAATGGGCAGAAACACAAATAATTCCATCTGCTGTAACATAAAATTCAGCTGTTTGTAATATACCAAATAATATTGGAAGCAATTATATTGACTAAATGATTAAAATTAATTTAATAATCCATTGATATAAAATATATGTATTTGTGTATGTATGTGCATGTGTTTACATGTATTTACTTTTAGTATATGTATAATTTTTTTTTTTGACCTATTGTTTTTATTAATTATATTTGCACCGCCTACAGTTTTTCTCTGCATAGCCTATGGTTGCCTGGTAGAAAATGCCTTAAGGCGTTAAGTCCGCCATATGTACTTTTACCTTGGTATTTTGTGCATTAAAGTTATATAAATAAATAAATAAATCAACAATTCTAATAATAACTTATTATTATTTACTAGCTACTCGCCCCGGCTTCCCTCGGGTGTACATATATATAAACCGTCCTCTAGAATTACTCTATATATTAAAAAACCACTTCAAAATCCGTTGCGTAGTTTTAAAGATTTAAGCATACATAGGGACGGACAGACAGCGACAGCGACTTCATTTTATACTATGTAATTTATTTAAAAATCTTCAAATGCGACTATACTCTTTTACTGATTCATCATCATCTGCTTCTTTGTTATTCCATTTATTTGGGGTCGGCGTAATATGTTTTTCGCTTCCATTCATCCCTGTTCGCAGTCATCGCGTTATTTACTTCCTTTCTTACCATATCATCTTTCACACAGTCCATCCATCTTTTTTTCATAACACCTTTCTTAACTTGTAACTCTTTTACTGATTAAGACTAATAAAATTATTATCAATCCTTACTAATATTATAATTGCGAAAGTAACTATCTGTCTGTCTGTCGCGCTTTCACAACGTAACTACTGAACTAATTTAAATTAAATTTAGTGCACAGGTAAAGGGTTGAAAGGGCAGATGAAAGGTTGTATGTAAGTATCGGCATTTCTGAAGCCAAAAGCTTGAAATTAATTTATTTATAAATAAATATGACATTCAAAGTTTGTAAAAGTGTATGCTTAATAAAAGAAAGTATGAAAGTTTGTATGGAAATTTGTCATTTGCCATCTATTCCATGCGGACAAAGTCGCGGGCACAGCTAAAAGGTAGGTACCTTTACTAAAAGACAAAAGTTGTTTTTAAAATAATATACGTGTTCAAAATTCAAAATAATTAAAAAATAAAAAAAAAACAATAGTTTTAACGTAACAGTATTTATGGCCAGTCTAGTTATATATCTACTATACACGATTGTCACATATTTATGAGAACGCAAACACATTCAGAAACGAACTTGAAATTTAAATTAAGCCGACAGGATATCAGCACTGCACGTTATCCGAAGCTTTTTGGCTTTGCGGCACATAAAGTCACCATGTCTCTTATTTGTATATTTATTTTTACTGTATCTTAATTATACTATTTGTGTATAAATAGTAAATAAATAGTTAATCTACCTATCTATCTTTACTCACTAATATAAAAAATGCGAAAGTAGCACTGTCTGTCTGTCTGTCTTGCTTTCACGCCAAAACTACTGCACCAATTGAAATAAAATTTAGTATACAGATAGTCTAGACCCTGAGAAAGGACATAGGCTACTTTATAATGCGAAGAAAGGGTTGTAAGGGTTTAAAATGGAGAAGAAACTTTCTATGGAACTATCGTCATTTTTAAAGCTTTAAACTTATTTTTTAAGCTTTTGACTATCAATATGACATTCAATATGAGAAAATTCCTCATTCGTCCTTGCAAACGAAGTCGCGGCCGCAGCTAGTATTTTAGATATTTACGTAATTGAAATGGCAAACTGGCAAACGGTAACCGTTGTATATATACATGAACAACATTACATCACAATACTAATTTAATTAGAAACATAAACATAAATTACTTCTGATCTATACATATAAATAAAATTGGAGTGTGTAATATTGTAATAATCTTTTTTTACTAAATACATATGAATATAAATACGGTACATACACAGAAATAACATTTTTTACAATTTTTGTCTGTCTGTCTGTTTGTTCGGAAATCTCTGAAATGGCTGAACCGATTTTGACGGGACTTTTTTTGGCTGGTAGCTAATGTAATATGGAGTAACTTAGGGTACTTTTATTTTAGTAAAACAAAGTTAAATTCCAAGCGGACGAAGTCGCGAGTACAGCTAGTATTAAATATTTTATTTACAATGCCGTCATCAATATTTTGTCTACATGAAATGAATTAGTTTATATTCATAGATTTCAAATTAAAAATGTAAAATTACGACAATTATTTGAAATAGAAACACAAGCTTCTTGCTCTTGTGAGAATGGGACAGCTTTCTGAATGAACGGTATATAAAAAGAAACAAGTATGACTATTGAAAAGTACTTAAATTTAAGTTTAATTCAAATTCAAATTAAAAATATCTTTATTCATGTAGTTCTATTACAGAGTCTTATGATATGTCAAAACTACCGACAGTTCAAAATTCAAAAAATTCAAAAATCATTTATTCATGTAGGACATTTTAGCCGCTTATGAACGTCAAATTTTTACATTATAATTTTATTTTTTCCCTACCGTCCGTTCGCAATGCTTTCTAGCTAAGAAGCACTGACAAGTCTCTCATTCCTATTTTTTTTAATGAGCTTGTATGTATTTATAAACATACAGATTTATTTGTAAATAACAAATTAAGGAGAATAGAGTGACTACCAGAATATCAGATACCAGAAAAGGCTAATTAGTGTCCGTAACCAGAACGGAAATCCTTCATATTGGTCCGTATGACGGATGAGCCAGCCAATAGTGCACTCTACCATATTAGAGAGAATTGAATAAATTTCCTATTCTAATCTATTCTCCCATATACATATATATACGGCCTATGCATCTGTTATAGACGAGTTGTGGCATAATGGTCCGTGAACAGCTCTTTTCGTGGCTGTATAAACCGATACGAGAACGGCATGGCTTACCACAGGCTCGACAAGGGAAATTATTGGCAGTAGTCTGTATCGAGTCGCCTAGGTGGCGCTCCCGTCCCTTGTCAGCAAGCCTTTGAAGCTAGGCATCATCGCAAACCTTTCGACCCTCCATTACGCGTTTGCGCCAATCTGCTCTACTCTACTCTCCCATATAAATACTATGATATTGTTACAGGATGCTGTCTACATCACTCCCCGTCTGTTTACTGGTGATCGGGGCGGCGTTCTGCGCGCCTGAACAGGTCCAGAATGAACCCGACACTCTATCGCCACAAGATAGTCCCAACACGCAAGAGCACACTGCGACATTGAGCAAGAGATCACCGCATTATGATTTTGGACTTGGCAAGAGAGCGTACAGCTACGTTTCGGAGTACAAAAGGCTCCCTGTCTACAACTTTGGATTAGGCAAAAGGTAATTCGTTAATTAGTTAGTCGAAAGTATATGAATGATAAGGTATTATGATTTCAAGGTAGTATCTTAAGGAAGATGTTACATATAAATGTGGATGGTTATAAGGGCAGACGAAGACCGAAAAATAGATGGATGGACAGTGAAAGATGACGGTAAGAAAGGGAGTTAATAACGAGATGACTGCGAACAGCGATGAATGGAAGAGAAAAATATGTTACGCCGACCGCAAATAAATGGGATAAGGAAAAAGCAGATGATGATATATGTCAATATGTATATCATCTCAAAAGATCTTACTAAGTTGGCATGGCTGCTTACATAGGTGAGGTAGAGGTCCACGTTGACGACTTTATGCAAAGTCAAAAATTCCGTAGCTTCATAAATAGTTATTTTTTTCTAGTTGCGATCCTATAATTTAACAATATAATATAATTTACATAAATAAAAATATACTAGTTGAGTTTCTTCATATATCCAGAACTGAATTAATTAACTGAACTAGGCGGTGGGCCAGTGATAAAAAATACACGAGAATACAAACGATCATACTATTGAATACAAATGTTTTCACCGTGCGAGGAACCGAACCCGCGACATCGAAAGTAAAATGTGCTAAATCTAGACACGCGGCAGCGTGTCAAGCCGAGTTTCAAGTAAACTGGCTTGCAGCACCGTGTGTATATTTACACGAACCATTTGGAGCCACTTTTGACCCCCTCATAACTCAAAAACTCTTTCACACAAACCTGTCAAATTTGGTTCATATATTGAGACTTGCGAGATAAATATGTGTTCCAAATTTCATAAACATATCTCAAACGGTTATTTAGATATTAATGTCCAAAAATCGTCATTTTTATCACTGATCAACTATAGATCAAAATTATAACCCACTTCCAGATGACCTAGGAAGTTCAAATTTGGTATGCAGATAGGTAATTAGGTGAATATAAAGGAAAAAATCTGAAACTGGTAAATTGTTATCATTTTACTACAATTTTTCACTTTAATTGATTCTATTTCAACTTATACTGGACGAATACTAAAATTCTATGAAAACGTCGATAGCCACCAATTGACATTGATCCCTGGCGAAAAATCTCATCTTGTACTGGACCGAAAGTAATATTGTATGAAAACGTCGATCATTACCAATTTACGTTGACCCCTTCACATCAGTGTCGATAACTAGCAAACTTCAAATATTGCATTGAGCGGTAAACACTAGTTGCTATAATTTAGATTCTGTCTAAAATATACTCGTACTTATAACTAGGAGTATAGTGGAATTTCGTATTTATTACGTTATTAACTGAGATTTGGTATTAATTATTGTTTCAATATTTAGCGCACATCGATAGTGTAAAATCATTATTTTTATAAATAATTATTAAATAATAGACATTTCGGTATAGGGCGCCGCGGCGGCGCCGTGTGGGAGCGGTGCGATAAAACTCAATGTTTTGTTTCTGGATATCTAACCTATAAGGTTGCGATTTATGCTACGAAATTTATAGCTTTCTTAAATTATACTTATATATTTGTGATTATATTATTATTACATTATTTTAGTAAATACGTATGGTATAGACAATAGTTTAAACCAAAAATTAATAACAATTTTAGTATAGTTATAAGTAGGAATGTACAGTTAACTCGAGAATGAGAACTTATTGGTAACAAGTTGTTTTCTTGAGAATTCAATAGATAACAGTCAATTTGTTACATAATCGTCTTTACGAACTATAATGTGTCAATACCAAGTTTCAGATATTAAATAATGTATATGTTGATAGAGAACAATTCCGTATTTGCTTAACATATGCTATTACTATCCACAAATCACAAGGCCTTAGTTTTGGCAGTCCTCTTCTCAACATAGCCTCCTCTATATTTAATAAAGGGCAGGTTTACGTTGGACTCTTCAGAGTTAAAACCTTAGATGGAGTACGTCTTAACAATTTTGATCCAAGTCACGAGAGCTCTATTGTAGAGTACAACCATCTGTGGACGTTATACCGCCCCGATTTGCCCAAAAATTCCTGATACTGAATTGGCAATGCACTTGAACATTTAAAAGTTACAAGAAAATATAGAAAATAACACAAAAAAAGACAATTATACCCCGTAAATATACGAATATACAGTAATTTATCAAAAATAATTTGGTATTAATTTAGTTATAAATAAGTACCTCATATAATTTATGTACAAAAAGTAATGATATCCCATCAAAAACATAAATGTGAAATGATAGCCGAGTTTAATATTATGATATATACCTTGATTGTTGACTTCTACGACAAAAGAGATGAGATCTAAATGGGTGCCAAGTTCAATGATCTGTCCTGAAATGTATTTATAACAATATAAAATATCATTTCTTCTTATAACTTAGGATAATATACTGTAGCCTAAGGTCTAACTTGGCTAGTTTTCATATACGAAATATACTGTAGCCTTCGCAAGTTCTAAACATGTTACTTGTCGGTTCCTATTTTAATATTAATAGTAACTAGCAATCGAAAGTAATAATTGGTATATGAGAACTGGCCAAGTTAGACCTTAGGCTACAGTATATTATCCTAAGTTATAAGAAGAAATGATACTTTACATTGTTATAAATACATTTCAGGACAGACCATTGAACTTGGCACCCATTTAGATCTCATCTCTTTTGTCGTAGAAGTCAACAATCAAGGTATATATCATAATATTAAACTCGGCTATCATTTCACATTTATGTTTTTGATGGGATTACTATATCACCGAGGCTGTCGAAAAAAAATATAATCAAAACCATTACACCTGTACAACAAACTATATTCTGTAACTCAAAACTCTCATATCACTACTTTACATATATAGTTAATATTCGGACGCCTGCCATCAGGTGGGCTGCATGATGGATTGCCACCCGCGCCGTAAAAAAATGTGTCAACGTAACAAATTCACTATTTAATTGTCAACATCATTGTGGGCGTGGTATTAGCTTTTAAAAGCTGAAAGCATCGTTAAAATCAATTTAGAAATATTATACAGTTGTACCGGAATAAACAAATCTGCGTTGGGGCGGATTTTGCTATGACGTAATCGGTTGATGCAGTATATATACATTCATTATTTAATGTTAAAATGTATATTTTAACGACATATGTAAAAGGTAAAGACATGTAAATCGTTGGTTGGATCATTTGATTGGGTGCTAATTAAAAATTTTCATGTTAGGTGTTATATATGAATGTGGATAGTTATAAAGGCTGAGGAAGGCCAAAAAAGAGATAGATGGACTGTGTGAAAGATGATATGGTAAGAAAGGGAGTAGATAACGAGATGACTGCGATGCGAACAGGCATGAATGGAAGAGAAAAACATATAACGCCGACCACAAATAAATGGGATAAGGAAGAAGCAGATGATGATATATGAATATATTATACATAAAAGAAAGTAACTCTAAATGAGCAAGGGAGAAATGATGATGATTATTGCCAGCAATGTACCATGTCAGGTTCACCTCCACGCGTTTCCCCCTGGAAACCAGCGTAATAAATTCTTGATGACAATAGGCTAACTGACCTGAACTCATGATCATCATTTCATCCTCCACTGGTGCACCAGCGTAAACCGTCAGCGCAGGCGGGTGCACAATTCCATTATCATCCATAAAAAAAACTATAAATAAGCTAAACGCAAACCAAAATGTCCAGATCACCAGATAGTTACTAATATTTAAAATATATTCAACAGGTCCAGGCCTTACTCTTTCGGACTGGGAAAGCGATCCGTAGACGAAGAACAGATGCCCGAACAATTCACCAATGATGTGGACCAAGCTGATTTGGCAGCGTTCCTGGACCAGTATGATGATGCATCAGGTGAGTAGATAACACTATAGGACCTTAGTAATATTATAAATTGAGGACCCCGGTGGTCTAGTGGGTTGGCACTCCGCCTTACTTCCTATGGTCCTGGGTTTGAATCCTTGCACGGTACAAACATTTGTATTCGTTAATATAATTGTTATACCAGTGGCGTGCTTTGAGAAAGGCCTATCCAGCAGTGGATAGGCAGTGGACTGATGATGATGATGAATATGATTGTTTGAATTATTTTCTGTATACTTAAACACTTATTTAGAAAAAGTATGTATTTAAACATTTCTATAAGTTGTTTAGTATCACAACACAAGCTCTGGTTAGCTTGGGACGAGATGGCGCTCTATGATTTGTCCAGGGTTATAAAAAATATATGTAAATACTAAATATTATTTTACTATATATTTGTTATCTTTCCACAACAAAAAGGCTGAACGCATAGATTGTATCACGAGAACGTAGGCTTTCTTTTGTCTCAATAAAAGCAGACGAAGTCGCAGCTAATGCCTAGTATTTACTTAATTTAGTACTTCAGTTTCAACTGTAGTAATATTGGCTTTACACTCATAATGACCCAAATTCGAGACGAAAAGAGGATAACAAAATACATTAGAAATTTACAAATCTGTATATAGAAGATAATCTCTGAAACTGATCTGCCAATTTAAGAATTCTTACCTAATGCTGGATCTGACTTCAGGCTGGATATAAGTTAACACAAGGGTCGCCCAACACTGCATTTGCGTGTTCTGTGCCTATACAATACACAGTTTTTATGTCCATACAGTCACTTATTCAGATAATAACATTTCTAATTTTTCATTACATTTAAAAAAACATTATTTCTAAGGAATTGAAATGGAAGGAAATAAAAAACCCTTAATGTATAACAAATATTAAAAAAAAAAAACATAATTGCAATATAGAGGTCACAATTGGCGGCCTTATCGCTAAATAGCAATTTCTTCCAGGAATTAAGTGTTTAAATTATTTTTTAATTAAGAAAGTATTATATATGTATTTATAGTATACTTCTATATACTATTAAGAGAAAACATTCATAAATTTAAAAATTGTCAATCGTAACATTTCCGTAGCATAAAAACCAATTTAACGGAGAGAAATAATATTTCGAATCTGCATTTGTGGAACGCTATTCAATATTCTCAAAGAGTTCCATATAAAAATGTAAAACCTCTATTGAAATTCATTATTAACTCACTTTGGCAAATATTTTTATTAAAGGCTCTTTTATCGATGCATAAATTACTTCAAATGAGACCTTCCCTGAGGGACTTTAGAAGTATCCTGTTATATGATGATTCGCAGGTGTTAAATAATTCGTTCTTTTAATTTTACTAGCCTACAATACACTATGTGGTATGTTCCGACTTTGCCTTTATGAATTTTGTAGTCCCACGGTAAGTTATAAATACTTAGACATATTTGTTTTGTTTTACATACAAAAGGAAACACTCAGACGATAGATACAAAGAATCATACTCATGAATACAAATGTTTATACCATGCGAGGAATCGAAACCAGGATCATCCGAATTAAGGCGATGTACTTAACCGCTAATCTACCCAGGTCGTCAAATATAGATATCACAGAGTATATACATCCCGGTCTATTGTTTTGTTCTTCAGACTTCATTATTTTGTTCACAGTATATGAAGAGAAGCGCGCTCGGCCCTACAGCTTCGGCCTCGGTAAACGGAATGCTGATAACGACTTGTCCGAGGAAAAACGGGCACGCATGTACGATTTCGGCCTCGGCAAACGTCTCCCTATGTACAGTTTCGGCTTGGGCAAACGGGCGAGAAGTTACAACTTCGGCCTTGGCAAACGGTTGAGCAGCAAATTCAATTTCGGCCTTGGCAAACGCGAAAGGGACCTGCACCGCTTCAATTTCGGCCTCGGCAAACGATCAGCAGAGGATACTTCCAACGACGACAGTGATAACTATGTTGATGTTTAAATTATTAACATTTTTAGTTTAACAATTTCAATATGGAAATTTACGTGGGATGTTTTATCTTCGTTTTTCTAAAATCATTTCGAGTAGATAGGTTTATTGTTTGCATAGTTAACGGTGCTAGATTTCGTAAAGTGTCTACTAAATCTCCTTGGCGATTATTTTAAGTAATTAATGTTAAAATTGAAGAGTTATTTTTTATATATTTTGTGAAAATGCCAGCCTATTTTCACAAGATTTAATAGGAAATAACTCAATATATACGCATATCCACAATTTCTTTACGCTTCCACGTATTTTTTCATATAGATAAATAATTATAAATACTATATACTTACATAAATCTTGGACTGGACAAATTCATTCAATTATTTTACATAACTTAAGTAATTTTAAGTAATTAATAAATATTAACTGACACAACACATATTTTTATGAAATATTTCGATTAAATTAACGTACATTATGTGTTTTTTAATAGTTATTATCATTTTAATTTAATAATATATACTTTATTAATTCTAGGATCATAATTAGCTTCGAACGTAGTCTTCGGACAGTTATATTTAACGCTATTGTTGTTTATTTTAAATTATGTAAATTATTATTGTTAAAAAATTGTAGTTATTTATGTAAAAGTTAATAAAGAATAACTAGATAGTAAACATTTAAAGATTGTATTTAAAATTATGGGGTTGCGATTACGGATCGAGTGGCAATGTGTAATTTATGCTTCACGTAAATAAAACAAAATAAATTTTATTATAACATGTCGTATATAGTCTGTGAGTTTTTAAATTAACAAAATACATTAAATATTAAATAGTGCATATTTAGATTAATTTATTATTTATTTATATATATAATAATTAAACAAATAAATACATCAGTCCCCTGTTAGAATAATATAATGGTACATGGCCACGGTTACACGGCCACATACCGTATTTTATTAAATGGATAAACAAAAATATTCTTACTATCAACAAATATTTTATATATTTTCTGTAACATGTATATATATATTACTTATTAATTTCCATTATAAACTAAATTGTTAAACTAATTTAAACTTACAATACAATATAGAGAACATCTGTAATTGTACTCATATACATAGATATATATATATACAAATGTAATATCAAATTGTGGGCCCCAAAAATCGGAATTGTTACCAACTGAACTTATTCTAGTCATTACGATCTCAAAACATTGTACGTATCGCAACTCTACTCTATTTGATATAAAACAATTAAATATAAGTTTGTTTAATACTTAAAATGTGTTGTTTTAAATATAACCAATCTGTACCTTACAGATCAAATTAAAATATACAAATCATAGAGAAATTGCATCATTGAATTTTACCATTTGTTTTTTTTATCCCTGTCCGAATGAACAGCCGAATTTTTATGAAATGTTATCGAGACAACTGTTACAATATCCTTTGCGTAAGTTGCTTGCCATGTAAGACGTTTCTATGTAAAGGTGAGATAAGGCAGTGAAATACAGTATATGGAATGTCATCTGTCCTCTGGAATTGCAACACATGAAAAATATTATAGGTGTTACATGATAGTGAGCTATCCGTGGTGTTTTCACATGCACGGCTATTGAATTAAAGCAATTCGGCTTGTTTTTGAGAACTAAGATATCCCCGTACCCTGAATTTTCACTGCAATATCAACTTTTAAATCGAAAGATAACCTATATATCAAGCATCGGTGACAGTAATAGGCTAGACGGCGGACAGTAGACTACTTTAGACACTCTCTCTGTTAAACCAATTCTATCCTTTGGAAATAATAACTTCCCACTGGTGAATGAAACCGGTTGGAAATGAATCCCCTTTAACATAAAACCGTTAAAGTCTTGCAATCCTGTTTTAGCTATAGACCTTTTCTAACCAACTATTGTCTCTAGTAGAACGAAAGTGACAAACCTCTGTAATAGTTACAGTAAGCTTAACTAGATCAAAATACTGTACAATCGCATTATCCAATATATATAAAAAATACTGATTCAATTATAATTAAATTTATATGAGACTGCAGCAGAATCAACCTTCAAATGAGAATTATTAATATCGTTCATGTAGAATGAAATAAATGTATGTAAAAAAAAATACAGCCGAATTGATAACTTTTTTGAAGTTGTAATTAGTGTAGTCGGTAAACACCATTTACAACTTCAAAAAACAACAACTTCGGTTGTCTACGTATGAACCTCAGTCTCGCCTATTTCAGCCGCCAAGCAGCTTGCTACATCAGCTGTGTTCTACGGGATAAGATGAGTGATATCACGGACATCACATGATAACGTGATGTTCATGTATATAGGCAACGATTATTCCTCACACGGTACAAACACTTGTATTCATGAATATGATTGTTTGTGTCAGTCTGAGTGTTTTTTATTCATATTATATATTTACAGAAAAAAACTATCGGCCTAATTATATCACTTGTGTAGTACCCATAACATAAGCTCTACTTACTAAACGGCGTTGTGGAAATTGTCCTGCGATATTACATGATATTCTATTATTATAAAAAACGATTACCACCTTTTTGTAAAGTTTATTTATTAGCAGCTTATATTTTCTATGAATAAGTTGTAAATCAATAAATACACAACGTTTTCAAACAACAAACACGGAAATTTCCAAATTCCCGTCCACAATTAACAGAAATGGGTTCTTTCTACTCTTCATTACTACGGTCCTAATGCTACGTGTCGTAAACACAATAAATTTGTTAAGGTATTCCATACTCGACACTCTTGTAGACGATTCGATTGTCCCGCGTGACGTGTCCCGAATAGTAGTGTCCCATCTTCACACGTGCACTCACGAATTTTTTAACACACTATCAAAATTGTCAACGTAATACTATTAGCAGCTATTGGAAAAAAAATAGCTAAGGATCTTTATTGTTATCTATATAACTAAGACAAAGTAGAGGGAAGCGGATTGTTGGAATACGCAGGTACAAATGAGCTCATTGGTAGCAATGTACTATGTTAAGTTGACCGCCACGTGGCTCCCCGTGGAAACTATCGTCATAATTTCCCGTTAATTTGCCAAGATGAGCTAACTGACCTGACCTGATTTGATCTGCAGATGAATCAGATCTAATCATCTGATTCATCTGCAGGTTCAACTTCACGTGGATCCCTTGGAAACCATAGTCATAAATTCTAGTTAATTGACCACGATGGGCTAACTGACTTGATCTCATATTCATCTTATCCGCCTCTACTAGTGTTCCGCCAGCGTAAACCGTTAGTGCAGGCGGGTGCACCATTCCATTATCATCCATTAGAAAACTTAGTATGTGGTCACTCACTGTAAGTTATGACTCACAACTGACGCTGTTTATAGTTTTACAAGAAGAGCAAGCAAAAGCTATTGAATTCTCCTCTCTCCAAGAAACGATGGATGAAGAAGATGGAGATTGATGAACATAAGATCAGTCAGGTTAAGTACATTTTTACGAAAACACCAGAAAAAAAAACAACGATAGCGTCCAGAGTAAACGCGTGAGAGGTCGTCCAAACATAGATAGACATAGGGCCACTAGTCTCATCCCTAACTATTACTATTACCTTCCCTCAACCTCTCTCTCTCTCTTTCTTCCTAGCTATACATCCCATATGGCGGTGGAGTCAGCTTTCCTTATTTTTCTCCGCCATTTTGTCCACCATATTCTGGAAATCCTCCTGAGAGATTTCGCACTTCATCATGTCCCTAGCAACTTTCCATTCCTTCCTTGGTCTATACAGGGTAAATAGTTTTACCTAAAATTAATTAAGACATAAACATTTAAATACGGTTTTACTAAATAACACCTGAACTTCGCCGATAAGGGAATTATATAGAACATATCAATTTAGTAAAGGTACAAATGAAATTGTTAAAGAAGGACCGGTCATTCCGGCTTTCAAAACTAATTCTTCTGAAATTATATATACTATAGTAATAATATAACAAATAATAGATTAATATTTATTATACCAATAAAATAAAATGTGGATAATTATAATTTACCCTAATAATAGGCATTATGTTGTCTCCTGACTAATTAAAATAAAGTATAGGTATTATGATAAAAATAAATTTAATAATAATAATAATAAATAATCCTGAACAATTAACACAGCGCCAACTAGTCCCACGGTAAGCAGAACTTGTGTTATGGGTACTAGACAACTGATAAAAATACTTAAATATTCCTTTTTTGTAAATAGATACAAGATATATACAGAGAACACTAGACCGATACTAACAATCATACTTATGAATAATAATGTTGTAGAAAAAATCTAATTTAAAATTTAAAAAAGCGCTGGCAATATGACCTAATTGAAGAAAGATTGAGTGCGTAGCGGTTTCTATGTTGATTGTCGTATGCCTAATCCATGTTAATGTTTATTTACTTTAGAACAATATTTATTTAAAAGAGGTGTGACTCTTTTTTTTTACTTTGCAAGTTTCTTACTCATTCATCTTGTGATGAGTCTGCGTTCCGAATGAGCGGTAGAATTTTAAAAAATGTGACTTATTAAAAGTGCTTATATTAAGTTTCTTTGAATAAATATTATTTCTATTTCTTTAGTTCGCATAAAAGTATACATTAATAAGGTAAGCACTGCGCAGCAAAAGTAATCTTAAAAAATCGTTCAGAACTCAGCGAGAAAGTTTTTCTATTTCCTCTTTTACAAGTCAATTGTTGATTCTAAACGAGAAAACCTGTCCAGTTGCAAGTACAAACATTTGTTTTTATAAGACAAGAGACAACCGAGCTGCACCTGATCGTAAGTGATTACCGCCGCCCATGAGCACCCGCAACACCACGGAAATCGCAATTGCGTTGACAGCCTTTTAAGAAGGAGTAAGCTCTTTTCCTGAAAGTTTCAATATCGTATCGGTTCGGAAATACCATTGCTAGGAAGTGATTTCACAATATGGTTGTAAAACAAAAAGTGCTGGACCGGCAGATTATTTATTTAGTTGCTACCCCTACATAAACAGTAAACAATAACCTAAAATTTTATTAAGGTATAATATATATAGGTAGGTAGCTGTGGCCATAACTTTTTTATTAGATTAATTTGGCTTTCAAATTGTTACGGACCTAATGGCGTATGTATATTTAAATTGCTCTACATTTTCAAGGGTTTATAAACTGCATTAATTTAAATGGGTTTAATACATAATACATAGATATATTAATGTACTTGGCACAACCCCAATAAATTTGAGGGTCGATTTACTTGAATTTACCTGACTGTTTAAAGCGATATTTAGTACAAAATTCAAGTATTCATTATTTATTATTATTACATA